CTTGATATGGTCAATAGACTAAATCAATAAAGTTAAAAAAAACAAAAAACAAAAAAACCCAATGATCTCTTCATCCCATGACCCATCTCTTATCCATAAACAAATCCATAAAGCATCGTCATTTCAGTCCTGGGGTTCATAAGGGAACTGTCTTTAGATCTGAAAGTTAGTTTGTTTCTGATTAAACACCCAACTCCAAATATATATGCAAAGATCACCAAAATTAATTTCAAAATCAAGATGGGTGTTAACATCACTGAAAATAATACCTCAAAAAATTCACAAATCACTAGCTCAAACAGAACTTAAATTGAAAGGCAGTGATATCTGACTAATGAGTAGGATAATACTTTGAATGTAATTGTCAAAGTTGTTATTTTAGGTCTAGATTTCTGAGTTCCACTAGAGAAAAATGTTACAAGGCAGCTCAGAATGGCCATGCCAGATGTTTTCTGGAAAAAAAAATATTCTCCATCTGTCAAAAATCTAATCAGTAAGAACACTTGGGGAATAGCAAGAAGAAGAAAGGATAAGCAGCATTTGTGATGCAAATTTCCTTCAAGTGTCTCCAAACTTGTATTCAAACAGTTCTGGTTTGAGAAAATTTCATTGATACAGGTTTTAATTCTGGACAGACAGAAATCCAAGAAACTACATTCAACTATCATTTATAGCCTTTAAACATTCATAAGCAGCCTAGAGATGCAGGTGGTATAGGTACAGCTTGACTGAATGCATCTGCTATGGTGATTGATAGCTGACATTCATTTTGATAGTGAAAATGAGGTCAATTCTTAGGAGTACAAAGCTGTGGCTTGCAGAGGATCTAAGTTGCTGGAATAGCTTCGGGTCATTCTAGGCTGTTGAAAAAGTTTGCAATGCTTAGTTTTGGGGGTTAACAGCTGTTGGTTTTAGTAAAATATTTCAATGTGTCCTTGATTGGCTTTCCATGCTAAAACAATGCCACCAAAAAGAGTGTGATTGTAGGGCAGACTAGTCATAAAAGATAGTGCAGATATTACATTTCCATGGCCATTAATCATCTGTCAGTTTCCACTTCACGAGTGAAGGAACTGAACAAATTATTTAGGTTATTAAAAGTACTTTTATGTTATCCCTCATCCTTATGGATACCAGGGTGCTATGAAACAAACATAAGTAAAACTATACATACCCAGATATAACAAAAAATTGAAACCAACCTTTATTAAACCATTAAGCGGAAGCAAAAATTTGCCCAACCATGGCAAATTCCAGATGTGCAGATTTAATTCCCAGCATCCTCAGCAATGAGCAGGCTAGGTGGAAAATTACAGGAGTTAAAGTCCATCTGGAAGTTGCCATGGCTGGGAAACACTGCAGCAGATAAACGGCTGCCTCCGCGTCAGCCTGGCTCTTATTTGCCTGCTTGATTTCTATGCGCGTGTGTGTGCATTCAGGTTTCAAAGCTAACATTCAGTTTCAAGGGCCTTGTTACTGTCAGAATTCAAAACAACTTGTGTAAATCTTCTCTAGGGGTTTTAGGTAATCTCTTAAGTGAAAAGATAAAGATCTATGTTTCACCTTTTAGATACATTGGTGTTTCCCATTCTGAAGCACTCAAGCTGCATAGGGATTGCAAGTACCAGAATTTCTAGCCAGCATGGAACATGGAGAGCTTGAGTTCAAACACATCTGGAAAGGACCAAATTGGGAAGGTGGGGCTACAGTAGCTTCACATCCTAAGCCATGATCATCCAAGTAAAAATGATTTGTATTTCCCAAGGTTGCGTTCTCTCCCTTTTTCTTCTGTCTTCCACCTTTTCCTTCCCTTCCTCTTCTTCCCCTCCTCCCTGTCTTTTTTTCCTTTCTTGGAATAAAATAGATATTTCTATGAATAGAGGCGTTTTTGCATTGGAAGCTTCAGTGACAATAACCTGAATTCAGAATAGCTGAACAGAATTCCAGTTGAGTTAGCTTTTGAAGATATTACTAAGTGGTTTCTATAAATTAAAAGCATCCAAGCATCTACCATATGATCTATCTATCTATCTATCTATCTATCTATCTATCTATCTATCTATCTATCTATCTATCTATCTATCACATTAATGTTAGGATAAAAATGGTAATCAATCAATGATAGCATCAATTGCATATTAAAATCCACCTACATATTTTTTTAAAAAGAATTTTTAAAA